TTAACCGATGTAGATACAGCGCGATTAGTATACTTTAGTTATTTTCATAGTGTCATGTCATATGGTATTCTCCTATGGGGGAATGCTGCTGACATTCAATCTATCTTTGTTCTGCAGAAGAGGGCCATTCGATCAATTTATAATCTTAGTCCGAGGTACTCTCTCAGGGAACTATTTAAAGAAATTAATATAATGACCGTTGCCTCTCAATACATTTATGAAAATGTAGTATATGCTCATAAAAACAAAAATTTATTTAAAAAGCATAGTGATATACATAATATCAACACGAGAAATAAAGACAAATATGTTGTTCCCACTACTAGACTAAAGAAAATAAGTGGTTCGTTTAGATGTCAGAGTATACGCTTTTACAATAAAATTCCCAGCCATATCCAAAATCTGAGTCTAAATAAATTTAAAAATGCCATTAAAGATAAATTTTATAGTAAAGCTTTTTATAAAATTAAAGACTACCTAGATGATAGTCTGGCTTGGGAATAGGCTGCTGTAACGTCCACACGGGTCATGTTGACATGTTTGTAACATATAGTTACATTTCTTGACATTGTTTTTCATACATTGTTCTAACTTGACATTTGCTTTTTCCTTTACAATTGTTAGTGCTAGGACCGTGCGAGACTTTGCCTCACCATTTCTTTTCTAATTACCCATATTCTGACAGTTTGAGTATTTGTGCGACCCACGCAAATGTTCTTTAGGTTGGTATTGTTCGTCGAATCAGTCAGCCTCACCTGTTAATTGAGCCGACTGTAAACCGACACATGCGTACTGCCTTCAGAACGGGTCCGCTCAAACTGTTGTGGTTCTTTCCTCAAAAGGCCACTACAGAAAGAACTTGCACGGTTCTCACACATAATCTTTTATACATATTGTCTGGACTTTAAAAGAGACAGACCTCTGAGTTTGTTTCGGCATTTCTTCTCAGAGTAGTCAGTTAGGAAATGTCGACCTCATCGTTCGCTTGATAAAAATGACGTGTAAAAGTGCTGCCTTGTAGCCTATTTGCAGAAATAAATTCACTTGTTTCACTTGTTTCACTTGTTTCACTTGTTTCACTTGTTTCACTTGTTTCACTTATGTATGCGTGTACTTGCAACACCATAATGTATGAAGTGTAATAGCGGTCCATGTCATGCGACAAATATCCTTCGCGTCAATGTGTGTATATTCTGCGTGTAAGTCTATACAGCCAGGTGCCACAGTCGTTGTTTCAAGAGACTATGTCCGCATTTTTTTTTCAACGTCCTTCAATTAAGTAATAAATGTTTTTTTTTCTTGTTACCACATAGATTTGTTTTATGTTTTTTCTTGTTTTTTTTTAATATTTGTTAATTACCTCTAACAAACACGGTGTCTCTTCTAGATTTTCCATCATACAAGTGTACATGCCCCGACGCTAGCGCCACTCCTGTTAAGGTGACGCCGAGATGCAACACTGGCACGAGTGTCATGGCGACCGGACGGTGTTCTAGTGTCAAACACCATTGTTTCTTGCCCTGAAATTAAAGATGGGAGATTTTTAACGATATGTTAGTAAAAAACGGTGCATGCATTTAACATAGAGGCTAATAAAAAGTATGTTTAGAGAGAAGGGATGATGCACAACCCCCCTCAAAGCCAAGCAACAGCAAAGGCGGTGATTTTTTGGCATCAGGTGTGCTCGTTTATCACCTATCCCATTTAAAAATCAATAGTCATAATTATGAAGAAAGTACTTAGTTTAACACAAAAGTGTGACCCTGACATGTATGATGTCAGAATTGACAGATGTCAGATTTGACAGATGTCAGGGTTGTCACACAATTCAAAGAGTTGTCTTGCAAATTATTGTTTACCTTCTTATTATAACAGGCCATAGTATGGTCAGCACAGATGACCATCACGCTGCTGTCAGCCGTCACCACCTCGATGGCAATGATATGGTCATCCGTGTTGAAGAGTATGCGACCTTCTGCCCAGTCTCTTTTCAGTACACACACTGTCTTCTCTCTGTAAGCAGGATAGGAATATCTAACTACAGACGGTTATGGTTAATATTAAAAGTCAAAGCATTTATTTCAATACATCCTAAATTAAGCACTTCATAAACGTCCAAAATTAAATTGTTTGTCCATCTGTCGGTCTGTCAGTGAAGCAAAGCGACTTTACATCGCTTAGCGATGTTATCTCAATTAGGGCACCTACCTGGTAGAGTAAGGTAACTATACCTACTAATGGGTGACTAAACAGGAACATGCAAGTTTTTATAATTACCTATAAAATTCGATTATAAATAGAGATTAGTAAGTGCCATATTGCCATGTGCCATCAGGAAAAATGAATAAAAGTATTCAACTTGAGATTTTGTGAAAACTTTCGCTTTTCGAATAGGTTCTGGTAAAGTGGTAAGTACGAATTTTTTTATATATTTTATTGCAGTGATTAGCTAGTGCCATGCACTAAATATTCTACTTATATTTGTTACATCTGTGCTGTGAATATTGTGATTGAAAACTTAGAATACGTGAGGTGCCTTTAAATTGTGAATAGCAATAAGTCACACCTCGTCGCAATTGTTACTCTGTAGTCGACAGTGTACAGTCCTGATGTTACCATTTGGAATGGCGTTTTCTTTACACCACATATTTTGGCCTAGACAAAAGCAAACATTCGTTATTTGTAAACTAAAATTACAGAAGCAAGCAGTCTCATTTTCTGAATACCATTGGAACAAAAATCTAACTAGACATTTGGAGCCGCTCACATTTTTAATATTATATATGTCTAAAATTTAGAAAATAAAGTTGTCTAATTATTCAGAGCTCACATCATGGTGTCTCACTTAATAATACTTGCTGATTACCTACTTTTCTATTTTTCTGTTTCATTCATTCTGTTCTTCCCACAACTCATCTATGCCAAAAACACTCACACATAAATGTTCACAACAGCTTTAAAACATATACCTGAGATAACTGGCTGAAGGTTTGAGGATCCAGAAACATCACATCTCCATCTTCAGTAGCCACAACAAGACAACTGACCGACCATTTATCTATGGAGTGCATCTTTAATGTACTGACACAGACAATCTCCGCATTTTTCTTACTTGGTAACTCTGTGTTGTTCTCCAAGTATTCTAGTTGCTGTTCTGTATTAAATGCTAGGAGATTCTGTGATTGAGCTGTTAAGATGTCGTGAGGTATTGCTTTTAGACTGTCCAGGAGTGGTTTTATTGCATCTGCGTTTTGGTTCACTGGGTTTATTAACTGGAAACATGAAAATGTGATTAAATAAGTATGTGTTGCAACATGAGTTGGTCACAGATATACCATGGTGTCACTAATTGAATTAAAATGCTTTTTCTAATTGGTTTTTATTCATTGTCATGTCATTGAACTCCTAAACGGCTTGACCGATTTAAGTGAATTTTTCTGAACGCGTTTGAGTGGCGCCCTGGATGGTTTAGATTCACAAATCAGCCACCAGATGGCGCTGCATTCGGTGTCTAGGTTAATTATCATAAACGGTTGAACTAATTTGAATGAATTTTTGTTTATACATTCAAGTGGATATGCAGGCCAACGTCTGTTGGGTCCGCTAGTTATATATATATAGAGTTGAAGTAAGTAAATTGCAATCTAATTCATGTATGTAATCAATAATGAATATACTAATTTCAATAACTTCTCATGGACTCAAAATGATAATAAGCACCTAAATTAGTGACAAATAAACGAATGAGCCCAAATAACCAACCTGCTTCCACACTTCCATCTCACACATACTGAGCTCGGTCGAAGGCAGGTAGTACTTATAAAAGAGTTTCAAGTTTCTATACATGAATATACAGGAGCTATAGGCCACGGCAACAATGGGAACGGATCGCGGCACTGTCTCACTTATGTAGAAACCGACTACGCCTAGAGGCAAGTCTGGGAGTAACATATCAAATATTTGCATTGCTCCTTTAAATATCTGTGGATAAAAAGAACATGGCTAGGTTAGGTTAGGTTTTAGTAGGTATTGTGAATTTTTGTTTTAGGGAAGAGTTTATTTTTTATAACAGCTTCATATTGCTGTTTGATAGCTAAAGTTTTAAAAGAAGAAGGAAAGCCGGTCAGTGAGTATTTATCCTTGGAATACCCACATTTAGGAATATTCTTAATTTCTTTCAACACATGAAATGTAAATTGAATTATAAATTAACATTCACAGACATAATTCACCTTTAATTTAGGCCCATCTTCACCTCTTCCGAAGTCTCCAACGAGGAGTTTGAATTCGTTATCATTTTGTAAATCCAGCAAAGCTAAGTTTTGTGGTAGAGTATTTAGATCTATATCATCATTTCCCACTTCCACGTCTAACCAACGAGTCATGCTTCCCATAATTCACATTTAAATTTTAATATTTAATTTTATGAAACTATTTTACTTTCTATTTACGTTTTTGTTGCCATGGGAATCGAAAGTAAACAAAACTTAAAACTTTTTGTGACAGTACTGCTTGGATGTCAAAAACTACCTGCAATAACGGGAATTTTATTTATTTTATTTACTTTCTAGAATTAATAATAACTATTATACAATTAAATATATACAATACAAGATAAAAATTAATATATACAACTTAAAATATATATAAAAAACAAATTTAAAACTAAAATATTTACACCTTAATAAAATAATAATAACTAACTTCACACACTGAAATAAAATTATTTTGAGTACCTAAACTAGTTCAAACATATGTATAATTAATTTTTCTTAAAATTTTTGATATTTAATCATAAGAAATGAATTTTTAACAATAACTATTCAATTGGTAAACCATCCGTCTTTAAGATCAATCTGAAAATATTGAAGTTTATAGCTTGTTTCATAAACGGGTATGTTCAGAAACCGATAACAACAAAACAATTTGTAAGAAAGGAAATTGTGTTTTATTCATGTTTTTTAAGATAATGGTATAATCCTGAGAAATATATGCCACACTTGTTCAAAGTGAATAATGATATACATATAAACGCATAATTTAATCAATAACAATAAATTACCCTTTAAAGTTACAGTATTTGATTGTACACACTTGACGTTTACTTTATTTTGTTTATTGTCTGTGAACTTTTAGAAGTTCGCAAAATGTTTTTGTTGTGATGGTGAAGTTTAAAAACTTTGTTTTAAGAATAACTACACAAATTAAACATTTTAATGATATTAATCGTTAGTGTATGTGTTTCTTAACTTTTCTATTTAGTTTAAGTGTTGCGTCGTTGTTAGGTAAGTCTGTTACGATAATTCGAAACAATAAATTGCATGATTTTATGTTTTATGTCTTAATTGGCTGATATTTCTACTATGAGCGGCTTGGTAACAAGTTTTAATAACTTAGATCCGCTTTGATTACAATTGTTTTTTATCGTTTTGACGTTCGATGTGAACAGACGTGTGCATTATACATACTGTTGAATTAACGCAAGAGTGACCTACTAAATTATTTTTGCTTAGTTTGAAATTTAGTATTTTGTAATGGAAACATAATCATATTTAATAAAAATGGATAAAATCCCGAGCAACCTGGCTTCCTGTGCCTCACCAATAGAAAGCAGCCGTAAATCTGACTTCTCAATAGAAGCTGTGTCCACGCCCGACATTCAGAACTGGATGGCAAGCATTGAACAGCAGTTAAATGAAGTATGTGTCATTGCAACGGAAGGCAAACTCAATTCGGAGCAAAAGCTTAGAATATCAAACCTGAGCCGTAAAATTGGAGCTGATGTCTCACAAATGGCTGTCCTTTATCAAGCACTGAAGCAGCAAGCTCGCCTAGCCGTCAACATAATGGATGAATTGAGAGAAAACTGTGACCTATCGGAACAAATTGACGAGATTAAAAAATCTCTCAAGGACTCAACTACAGCCAAGACTGTGTCTTTTGCGGACATGGTGAGAAAAGGATCCGATTTCGTTCGACCAAACAATCTGGCCTCTGTCGCTGTGTATCCAGCCAATAAATTGAAAACTAGCGAGGAAACTAAAACTATGGTGCAAACAATTATAAGTCCTAGTGAGATGAAGCTGCGCGTGCGTGGAGTCCGCAAGACACAAAACGGAGGTGTAATAATCAGCACTGAGTCGAAACAGGATGCTGAAAAAGTGAAGCAAGCAGTTGGCCTGTCGTTATCCGGTCTTCTCGCAGACGAACCAAAGAAGCGCAAACCACGAATCGCAGTAATAGGAGTGCCGTCGACAATGACAGATGCTGACGTCTTCAGGTATATTTATGACCAGAACGTATCTGACAAGCTCCCGGAGATGACAATGGAGTGTTTTTTAACATCAGTCAAGCTAAGTCACAAATCGGGAAGAAAGGATGCGCCGACCTGCAATTTCATCATCGAAGTTCCAGGCAAGATACGTAAAGCCCTTATATCTCAAGAGAGAATTTATATCAATTGGACTTCCTGCCCCGTTAGAGACTTTACGCTTGTAACGCGATGCTACAATTGCCAACTATATGGACACGCAGCAAAATCATGCAGAGAGATCAACTCATCGTGTGGCCACTGCGGAGAAGCAGGACATGTACAATCCTCGTGCACTAAAAAGTTGGAATCCCCTAAATGTGCTACATGCTCTCGTTACAATAAGCCCAATAAACATAAAACCGGAGACACTGACTGTCCGGCTAGGAAAATAGCTGAATATAGGTATATCAACTCTATCGATTATGAGGACGCGTAAAGTGTCATATTCTCAGATTATAGAGTTGATTAGCCTTTCCTTGCACATTAATTAACAATTTGTTGCTGTTCAAGCATATTTTATTGTGACATCGAGTGAATGACCGTTTGGACTGTAAACTAGATTATGTTTCTGTTGATGTATCAAATTCTTCAGTACTATAGTTCCTACAATGTTTTATATAAATATATATGTATCTCTAACTATGTTTTGCAATTAAGTTAATATAATTACTTGTTTAATAAATGTACTTTTACGATAATATTAATATTTAGTTACCTATCATGATATGTTGTTATGTACGTGTGTATGTATGTATGTATATTATATAATCAACTTTACTTTAATTTTGATCGATTACTTATGTTAAGGAATTTGTTTATATAAATAACTTGTCCTAGAATTAGTAATATTGTGAGTGCTCCTTTCGCCTGTGATACAGGATATTCTTCCTAGTACAGGCATTCAAACCTAGTGAGATCTCTGATTTTAAATTAAGATGTTTATCTGTACCATGACCAATTTCTTATAATGAATTAAGATTTATTATTATTATTATTATTATAATTAGGCTCAACGGAAACTAATTACAATTTGTTTTTACGGAGTTAAGAATTTATTATTATGTTTTTTTGTTCACCAAGTGCAAGATTTCATGAAACAAAAGTCGTTTCGCCCGTCTGACACTACAGAATATAGCCTGTGTTGTTGGTAAACATAAGAATTTATACCAACTTCAATAAATTAGGAAAAGGTAATTATTTTCTGTTTATATTTTTTAGTAGGAACAGTTTTAAACTTTATTTTTTCAGAGTACAATCCAAAACATACTCAATGCTCATTAAAATATGATTCAAGTTTGTATAAAAGTTGTATGTTCAATGAAATATTTCTTGATTATTGAGAAAAGAGGTATAATTTTGTCCTTGCTCAAATTATCTGTATTAACTACCAGTTACCAAACATAATATCTCTGTAAATAAACCTTGATATACTTCCTGTAAACAATTACATTTACAATTAAAAGTTTAAAACCATCTTTATCTGATGTAAATATGTACCTATATGCAGTTGTAAATATACAAACATATTTTTAAAAACTTTTCCTTACTTATTACAATATTATTATTCATTTATTGTAGTTACTTACTTCAATAAAAAAAACAAATTACTACAATATGTCTATTGTCTATGGTCAGCTAATATTTAAAAAAATAGAGTTCATATCACTGTTTAAAATTTAGTTTATACAGTTCCAATAAGGAAAAGATGCAAATGTTGCAAAAGATGACCACAAGATTGTAATGGAAGGAAGGTCTCAATAAGAATGTTGAGAGTCTATCTTTTCTTTATGGTTATGTTGGCAATAGTTAATTCAACATCTTATGCTACCCTAGCTTGTACCTATTTAGTTTTTGAATATTCCACTTTATACTTTTAATGCAAGAATAAAATCCCATTTAACAAAATTCCAGTTTACAGTAGTTTGTTGTACACCCTACTATTTGCCCCCACCCCCAGTGGCGTAACTACAGGGTGGCAAGTCAGAGAAATGCCACGGGCCCGGGATCCAAGAGGGGGCCCCGTCCAGAGCTTACTACCTGAACTTCTCTGTTGTAATAGGCAAGAGAGCCTATCCAATGAAATCGGACCTGGAACTGACTTGTTACGCCAGCCCAGTGCCTGCCCCATTATCCTTACTATCCTTACTAATATTATAAATCGGAAAGTGAGTTTGTTTATTTATTTGCTCCGCTTTCACGCCGTAACTACTAAACCGATTGCTTTGAATTTTTGCAGACGTACTTTTTATCCCGAAAAATTGATATTCCCGAGGGAAACAAAAGTATTGATATAGATGGCGCTGTGTGTATTGGTATATGTCACATAGGCTACTTTTTATCCTTTTGTGACGCGAGCGAAGCCGCGGGTAAAAGCTAGTCTTTCATAAATAAGGAAAATTTTTTTTTCAGACAATTCTATGAAAATATTAGCTAATAATTGACGCCCAAAGACGATGTGAAACATAGACAAACTATTAATTATAACCGCTAACTATTCACCCTTATACTTAATTCGTGTTTTGAGCAACATGTGACAAATACGTGTAAAATGGCACCCGTATTTTGTACGTTATTTAAGGTAATAAATAATTAAATTATGTGATCACCAGGTATAGGATGGCTATTATAATCACTATCCTGTTAACTACAAAACGAATTAAATAACAACTATAAATAAATAAAACGACGCGCGCGCATACCGTGGTGCGCAGGTGCAAAACTGCGATCTGTGATTGGTGATACTTAATAGTACCAAATTGGTAACTTACACAAATTCGCTATGTCATTATCAAAACCTACTTATATTAGGCATTTTTCTAACCTACGGTAGGTAGGTGAACTACCTACCTACGCAAAGAAGTGAAGAGAAAACACTGTGAAAAACTTATTACGACCTTTCCACAAATAGCGCCAGGTTACAATAGTTTTATTTTAATGTCCATCTGGTACATTATTTTAAATCATTAGACACGTATTTTTTATTTTCTTATAGAAACGAATACTTTCGACGGTATATTGATTTGAAATGTTACGTGACGTCACTTCTATGTACATTGTATACGTAGAAATGACGTTTTAGCCCCCACTCCTAAACTTTGATTCGTTTTATCCAAGTATCGTTTCATTATACGACAAAATAAAAAAAACGTGTCTAATATTTTTTCATTACGTAACTTATGGACTAATTCGATTTTTAATTTTCATACCCTGTC